AAAAAAAAAAAAGAAACTTTACAAACACTATTTTCACCATGTGACAAATGAGAAACTCAAAGCCTAAGTTCGGCTACTTAGGCCAAGAGATGAAAGAAGTGCCACTGCCGGGCGCACTGTGTTGGCCATGAGCAAGTCACTGCACTCTTGCCAAAGTGACAGAAAAAGACTCCAACTCAAAACAAATAAATGTTCCAGAGAGTGATGCTGCCCCCCAAGGGATCCTAATTACCTTGAGGCTGAGAAAAGTAACTTAAAGGTCTGGGAGAAAAAGAGACCACAGGGACACTGAAATCACGACTCCTATGTAGACCAATCCCCAACACTTTCTTTCTTTTTTTTTTTTTTGAGTTGGAGTCTCACTCTGTTGCCCAGACTGGAGTGCAGTGGCCGCTCCCGGCCACCGCAGCCTCGACCTGCTGGGCTCTGGCGATCCTTCTGCCTCATACTTCCGAGTAGCCGGAATTACAGGCATGCACCACCACGCCTGGCTGATTTTTTGATTTATTGTAGAGATGAGGTCTCGCTGCCCAGGCGGGTCTCGAACCTGAGGGCTCAGGCAATCCACTCACCTCAGCCTCCCAAAGGCACGGGATTACAGGCTGAGCCACGGAGCCCGGCTCCCCAACACTTTCAACTGCGGAGGGGCGGGCTTATGCAATAGGCTGAGCAGAGGACAAGCAGGTGAAGCAGGAAAGGACTCCATTTAAGGTCTGTTTTCCCAAACTCAGCGACTATTATGAAGGTATAATAATGGAAAATTAACTTTAAGAAACATAAGATATTGGAAAGTAATTGAATAATTATGTGAAGGAAGTCACTACAATTGTAATCCTTCCTCCTCAGCCTTCCGAGTAGCTGAAACTACAAAGTAATGCCGCCAAGCTGCACTCCAACTCATCTACACAACAAACCAAAAAAAAATGTATATTGGGCATGGAGGTACACACCTGTGGTTCCAGCTACTCGAAAGGCTGAGGTGAAAATATCACCTGAGCCCAGCAGGTCCAGGCTACAGTTGTTGTGAGTATGTCACTGCACCCCAGCCTGGGCAACAGAGTGAGACTCCAACTAAAAAAAAAAACCAGAAGTAGGAAACTAATACAGGCTAGATGGGAGTTCCAGACCAGCCTGAAATACTCTCCAAAAATGTTAAACATTGAAGAGCCAGGCACCATGGCTCAAGCACTTCGGGAGACCGAGGCAGGAAGATTGTCTGAGCCCAGGAATTCGAGACCAGTCTGGGCAAAAAGGTGACAACTCATATCTACGATAAATCAAAAAGTTCGCCAGGTGTCATGATGCATGCCTGTAGTTCCAGCTACTTGGAAAGCTGAGGCAAAAGGATGGCCTGAGCCCAGCAGGTTGGTGCTGCGTAGCCGTGAGCATGCCACTTCATTCCAGATTGGGCAACACAGTGAGACTCCAAATGAAATAAATAAATAAACTAAAGAAACAAGAACAACAAGAAACTTTCCTTAGGAAGAGAAAATAAGGTCTTTTTTTTTTTTGGAGTTGGAGTCTCACTCTCACCCAGGCTGGACTACAGTGGCATGCTCACAGCCACAGCCGCCTCAACCTGCTGGGCTGAGGCGATCCTTCTGCCTTA